GACTGGCATTCTCATGCCAGCAAACAAAGACAGATATAGAAGGGAGCGATTGCTGTCTTAACAGCAAAGATCTGGGACTGGCCAAAAGGTCCCGGTTAAATAAATACGGCATGTTTGTGTTATGGAATACCACGTAGCCATTTAAAAGCATGAGGAAGGCTTTTATATGACACAGGAAATTCTCAAAGACACAAGTGAAAAAGCAAGGTAAAGAAAGTAACATGAAAAATTCTGGCTGAAAACACAAACTAGCATTGACAGTGTTTAACTCTGGAGTGTGGGGCTGGAGGCCATGACGGGGGTTAGAGGAAGATTAACTTCTTACTTATTGTATATCCTTCTATACCACTTGAATGCTTAAACATAATTTAAAAACTGCTTTTAGAAAGTGATGAGGCAGGAGCAAACACTTTGAGGGAACCTCTTACTTCCCAACTACCATGCCGAGTGCCTCGTGTGCTTCATCTTGTCTGTATTTGCACAAAAACAAAAACAGTAAGTTGGACACTATGGCCCCTTTCCCATGAAGCAGAAACTGAAGTTTCAAGGGGCAAAAGAATTTGTTCAGGGTAACCCCCTTATCCATCTTCCTTCAATAATGAAACAGAGTATTTGTAAAATAGGGAAATTCTTTCCACACTGAGGCAGCCCATGGCCACCGTCCTGGGGACAGCTCGCTTAACCAGGCAGTGATCGAGGATGTCGGGGAGAAGGCAAGACAAAAGGTTGCCGATGGTGGCCGAGGTCGAATCAAATTTCTGGAAATCAAATTTCTGGTGACCTCCAAAGGGGAGGGGTCCTAGGGACCCCAGGGCTGCACGCTGTTCAAGTAAATAACACTTGGCAAGCAGGGCTCAAACACATGAAGGGAAGTGTTTCCCTAATTAAAACTACATCAGCTTCAAAGCAGACGCAGTTGCGGTTCCATGGACAGGCGCTGCTGCAGACCACAGAATCACAAGGTGGGGGCGGGGCCTGGGAGTGTCGTGGGAGCCCCCAGGCAGCCCCCGTGTAAGGCCTGTCTGTGCCAAGTCTTTGGTCGCTGCAGTAAGATAGCTCTCTGTTTTCTCACTCCTCCATTCTTCCCAATAAAACAGTCTTGTGATTTTCGGGTAACAGACTTTGCAGCGACATTTTAAAATGCTAGATTTTATTTGTCCTAGGGTCTGCCAGCACACACTGTAATTAAAATGTTGATTAGTAAACAGTTTAAATATATGACAGACAATGCAGTTAAAGCCTACAGTTAGGTCAATATGTGATTTAGATTTGCCATTTAAAAAAATCTCATTTAAATTTTGCATACATTAATCACTACCACACTTCAAGGTTCTGATATCCACCTGACTACAATATTAAAATAAAACTTGCTGCCCCAGGGAAATCCTACTTATTCTTAATTGTTTCGAGGCTTTGATGGGCTTTTAATCTAAGATTAATTTATGCAATTTTAAATAACTCTTCTTATGATTAATAAGCTTGAAAATTAAAAGGAGTCTAAAGCAATTATAATGAGCATTTGGTCATAACCTCATTAGAAGAAGGAGTGAAGGATACAGCTCTAGAATTCTTACAAGACCACAATTTAAGGTTACTTTTAGAGAAGTCAAACATAGTTCCTGAAATTGCAAAGGCAGGTTAGCAAAGGTCAGTGTTAAAATGACGGCTAGCTAGATTAGCATACTAATGATTTTCCCTGAGAGTGACAGAAAGGACACTGAAAAGAAGATGCAGAAAGAGAGACAAGTGACATGTTGCCAAGAAGTGACAGGCTCTGAACTCAGTTTCCTATTCTTTTGGCTGGAGACCCTCATGGAAATTCAGAAAGAGCCAGAGCGTTAGAACCTCCCTTTACATAAACAGTTCTAGCCAGAGCATCTGGTCCAGGGGATCGGGCGGACATAGTCCTCCCCTGTCGTGGTAGCCTCGTGTAGCCGCTGCCCTGCTTATGAGCCAGCAACAGCAGCTCGCAGCCAAGTTCCTCTTCGGTGTGCAAAGCCCTGCCAGGCCCTGGATCCGCCTCACCAGCTAACTTTACCCCTTTCATTTCCTCCGGTTTCCGCTGTGCTATTTCTTCTTCCTGGAACACCTCCTGTTGCTACAAACAGTGGTGATGATCATACTAATGGCTAACCATTCATCAGGCACTTATTTATGCCAGACACTGTGCTAAGCATAACACACTTCTACTTAAATGACCTGCTTTGTGAGACCCAATTTTTATAGGTGAGGAACCTGAGCCTAGAGTCAGTGACACGTCTGAAGATGGGGAGCCAGTAAAGAAGAGGTGGAGGGATGGGAGGAGCTGGCTCTGCTGAGCCACCGCTTCCTAATTTCTGCATTCAGACAAATTCTAACTCCTGTCCAGGTCCGGCTGGAGCCAAGCTGCCTCCCTGACCACTGAGCCCTCTCACGGGGGGCGAGCCAGCAGCGCACAGCCCGTCCTGCCTTCTCTTAACGTCTCCTGTGGGTGTGTCTAGTCTGCTCCTTCAGGACCTGATGTTTCTTCTGTTCCATTTGAACCCATCACAGCACCTCACAGAGGCAGACAACAAATACCTGTCAAACAATCGACTGTTTCACAATAACTCCCTCCAAAAAGATGCTCGTTACATCTTACCGATAACAGAGGACAGACACAAAACGTGAAGGCTTTCTAATGTCTGGGAGGAATAACCCATAGAGGTCCATCCACCCTGAAGAAATGACCGATTTCTTGGACACCAGCTGCAAACGTCCACCATTCATATACTTTGTTCTAAGTCACATTCAGCTACACTAAACACATCTATTTTCCAAGAAGTTACTAGTCAGAAATGCCCAGAACATTAGGAGAGAAAATCATGACCTAAAGGGGCTAGATGATTTAGAGTTCCACATATCTAGCCTTTTATAGCTTACAAACACACTTTAATCAACTTACCTAATTAAAAAATGAAGTTCAAGGTCAGTATCACTACTTCCATTTTACAGATGAAGCAGCTGAGGCTCAGGTAAGCTAAATAAATTGATTACCCAGTTACTTAGGGGCGGGGACTCTACCTGAAATCCTGTCTTCTGATACCCAGAACAATGCTCTCTCCAGTTTACCACGCTGCTTCTTGCCTAATGTTCACGGTGGACTCATTTCCAAGTCCTAGAGCCCATCCTCAGCCTCTCCAGACTTCACACTCAGGAGACAGAGTCTGTCCTGCCAGCTGTCGGACACATTCACCCCGCTGCAGTTCTCGCGCCGACTACAGAATGAGTGGGGCCAGGGCTCTGCGCCTGCGCTCGCTCCCGCTGCTCCCATCCCCCGAGGCCTGGTTGGTGAGGACCCCGACTGCTGTCCTCTAGCCTCGGTCTGCTTCCCGGCTGATTTCCCGATGGACCTGACCTCTGTTGGGCTCCCTAATCTGTGTGACCCAACTGCCTTGCTCACAGGTCTCTAAGGCACTCCCCAGTTTGGCTTCTGTTTCACCTGGCTCTCCGCACCCTGGTTTTATTGATATATATAATGGACATGCGGCACTGTTTTAAGTTTTAGGCGCACAGTGTAAGATTTGATATATATATATATATAGTGAAATAATTACCACAATTAGTTAACTTTCATCATCTCACATAGATACAAAAAACAGTTTTTCCCCTTGTACCAAGAACTCTTTTTATTCTCTCAACTTTCAGATACACCGTATAGCAGAGCTGACTACAGCCCTCATGTTGCACATTACATGCCTAGTGCGTACAGAACTGGAAGTTTGTACCTGCTGGCCACCTTCATCCAATGCCCCCGCCTCTGGTAACCACCTTTTTTGTGAGTGTTTTTAAAAACAGATCCTGCATGTAAGTGAGATCATACAATATTTGTCTTCCTCTGACTTACTTCACTTAGCATAATGCTAAGGTCCATCCTTGTTTCATTAATGGCAGGATTTCCTTTTTTACAGCTGGGTAATATTCCACTCTGTGTGTGTGTGTGTGTGTGTGTGTGTGTGTGTGTGTGTGTGTATGCGTATGCGTGTAACATCTATCCATTTATCCATGATGGGTGCCTAACTTGGCTGCTGTGAATGACGGTGCTACAAGCATGGGGGTGCAGCCAGCTCTTCGACAGTGTTTTCATTTCCTTCAGATATATGCCCGGAAGTACTACTGCTGGGTCATATGGTAGTTCTATTTAAAATTTTTTGAGGAACCTCCATACTGTCTTCCCAAGTGGCCATACGAGTTTACAATTCTACCAACAGTAGATGAGGACTCCAATCTCTTCTCTGCATCCTTGCCAGCCTTTGTTACTGGTTTTTTGCTGCGCACTTTTTCGTGCACCTGTCGGCTGTTCATGTCTTCTGTGTGAAGATGTCTCTTCAGAGCCTTCGCCCCTTTCAGTTAGATTATTCACTTATGTTTGTGCTACTGAGTTGTATCAGTTCTCTATATATTTTGGATATTTACCCCTTATCAGAGATTATATTTTTCCCCATTCTATAGGCTGTCTTTCATGTAGTTCTTTTTGATCACCTCCTCAAAAGAGATTTATTGAACAGCTTCTTGGTACCTTATATCCTGCTGGCTGCAGGGAATTCACTGGCTACGTAAAAGTTTTACTTCCTCACAGCACGCTCTGGAAGGGTAGGTTAGTGTCTGATCAGCTTCGTATTCCCTGCAGCTGTGCAACTCAAGCAGCTGGTCCGGGAAGTTTGCTGCTGGTTTCCAAGGAGATAAGCAGCCATGTCACAATGAACATCAGCATAGAGCTTCCTTTGTTGGGAAAGTTTCGCTACAAAAAAGTCAGCCAAAGTAAACAGAATGCTTTGAGACAGGCTTGCCTTATATTTTGGCACAAACTCCTTACCTTGTGCTCAAGAAACAGTTCAGGCACCTCCACTAGTCTCTGGTCCATCTTCGGGTAGCATTAAACTAGAGCACTAGCAATGTATTCTGCACATAGAACGTGCTCAGTCAAGTTTGCTGGAAAACAAATTTCTCCCAAACACAGGGAACAATATGCCTTGGAAGCGGCTCGCTTCCATTCCCGTGATGGCAGAAGTGGAGAGAGAGCAGGTCTGCGGCTGGGCAAATGGCAGACAGGACACACGCCACCCTCAGTGTTGGCTGTGGTCGACAAAACCAAGAAAAACAGTAACAAAAATTCTCACAGCTTCCCCTCAGATACCCAGCCAACAAACAGGAGCAAACTGCTGGTGATTACTTCTTCTCTTCCTGTCCGGTCTGCTTGCACGGTGGGCCATAAGGAGTGAGCTGAACGATCACCCCAGAGGGGCATCGTGGAGTCACGAGTACTGACCACTGTGACCCTACACGTTTCTTTGTGGGGTATTTGTATCTACTTTATTTCTGATGGCAAGAAATAGTCTGACTGAACTGAAATTCTCACGGCCACGATAACAACGCCCGGCCCTCCGAGCAGCAACAGACACGGCTCCGAGGGAACGCGGAACAGACCCATGTTCCTCCTGGCTGCGTGACTGCAGGCACGTGTCCATCAGCCTCTAAGCTCCGGTTTAACACATTGCTGAAACGGGAGTAAGAAAAATCCTCACAGTGGTTGTGTGAAGGTCAAGGAGATAATTATTAGGAAAAAACTCTACAAGCTCAGTGTTTAAAAAATATTATTTAATATTTTTCTCTATAATAAATCTATTTTTTAAAGGTTAAAGAACAGAAGACTTTCTGAATTTATCTGCAGCTCCAGGTTGCATGCAATTGTTATGCCAATTTTTTTGGAGTAAGTTCAGAGAAAATGTTGTGGTGTGGATTTTGGCTAGTGTGGGCAGCTGAGGGTCTGCTACTTTTCCTTATGATCCAAGCCGTGCCTCACACTGGGTGCGGAAAGTAATACACTCACGTAAGTACCCAACTGTTATCCCGTGAGGCCTGGTTCATTTGTGAGCCCATTCACAAAGTCTCTCCAGAAAACTCTGCTTGAAAGAAGTCCTGCCTTCCCCAGAACTTTTTTTAACTTGTTAAATCCGTATCACTACAACTCAGGAACTCTTTAGTGAGTTTTCCATGTGGGGCTGAGGACCAGGCTATATGCTAAGGCTACGCAGATAAATAAGATGTGATATTGTCCTCCAGGAACTCCTGGTCTTACTTATGTGCTGCTACCAGTTATGTAAATGAGCTACTGCCTCAAAGTGTGGAAAGGCACTAACAGAGGAACCTCCCTGAGGAAGGACGCTTAACAACAGAGAATCATCAGACCTACTGAGGCACCCCGGGGAGTAGTGCTTCCTAGGGGCTGAGTCAGTTGGGTCTTGGAGGCTGAATGGGAGTTCACCATGTGGACACGAGGAAAAAGCACAAGCAGAAATATGACCATGCAAGAATGTCTCAAGCATTTGGGGACCGCTAGAAAGGTAGCACACAGGGCGAGTGGAAAGGGGCGCCACGAGGTGGAGGGGCAGGCAAAGGTGGGCAGTGGTGAGCGAGGGCCTTTGGAGAGTCTGACATCCTGTCCCTTGCTTGGCTGTTTACGTCCTCACCTTCCTTGCTAGACGGTAGGTAAGCCGGCTGAGGTCAGGACTCGGGGCTGACATACGTGCCGCTTCCTCAGGATCAGGTGGGACGCTCTGCCCAGAGTGCGACACATGAAAATGGCAAGTGCATGCCAACGTGCACATGGTGATGCTCAAAGCGTATTCTCTCCTGTCTCACAACAGCAGAAATGGCTGAAAAAGTCATCTGCACGGGACGTGCAGTGGGTTATAATTCAGCCAGCTTCCTAAAAGCTATCGTTGCGTCTTCCTCTGGTGCTTAACCCACTTTCCAGATGAAGCGGCGCTGGTGCCTGCATGGGCGGGGGGGGGGCACTCCGAAGGCAGGGAGGAAGGAGCCTGTGCTTGGCCAGAGCTCCGCTGCCCTCCCTGACAGGGGAGGGGAAGCTTGTTCCGGAGGGAGAACTCTCCAGCCTCAGGCCCTGCCCACCCCCACATTCCAGGGCAGCCGACTGGCCTTCGCCAAAGTGTTCCAGAGGCAAGACTGGCTTAAAAAAAAATCATGTTTAATTTAAAAATTAGAAACTGGAGCAGGCTGTGAGCACAGGGGTTGATTGAAACAAAATTTAAATTCCTGTCAAGCCCATTTAAACACGGGGGCCCTTCATAGACAATTAGCTGCTCCCTGTGAACGCTGAATAAACTCAGGCCTGGTCACTGCGAGAAGAGAGGCGCCTACTGTGAGGCGCTGGAAAAAAAATTAACTAAAATCAGGCTGTATGAAATATTTAGCCTTCCAGGATATCACGGGGCTTTGAAAGTGTAAACAAGACAAAAATCGATTCCTTGGTGCCCTCAAATCAATCCCCCAAAATGGTTAGGGCATCTGTTTCTGCTAAATTTTGTTTACATCGGCAGATTTGCCTTAATTGCAGTTGTTTATCTCCCATTGTCCCCGGGGCCCTAATCTCCCGATTACTAATACTTAACACTCATTTCACATCTAAAGCTACTTCTAATCCTCAACAGGTTTTGGGGGCTCTTAAAATTATTGAAACCGCAGAGGCGGGAGACACAGCCTCTTTGTGAAAGGAACATTTTCTTATCTACTACCAGCTGGGCCCAATCGTCACCAGGGATGGTGACAACAAAGGTGCTAAAAGGCTCTTCCACAATGACTGCTGCTCCACTGGGGATTCAGAGGATAAAAAGGAGCTTTGATGGAAAAATCTGAACAAGAGGCTAAAGCAGTCCAGCCAAATAAAGTTACTGTCATAATCAAATGCTGTCAATCACCATGAAAATCCAATTAAAAATGTTTCAGCACAGCCCTCTTAAGTGGAAAAATGCACCCTATTTATACAAATTTTTGTCAACTCCACACCAATCCCACAATTAGAAAGTCCTCCTATTAATTGAATCCCCCCACCCTCAACTTTAAAAGAGATGTGGACCACTCAGAAGCCTTTTGAGGGAACTGAGACTCATGCAGGCTATTGGTATACAATTAAGAGTTAATCGGGTTACATCTGAAAATTCCATTTTTATTTGTGTCAAGGGAACCTTTGCACGAATAAATGAACAGTACCTATTCTCCTACTTCAGAATCAGCAACCATTTCTATTAGGAGAGCAGAGAACGGTAAACCAGGATACTGGAGAGAAACTAGTCCATGCTCTGGCAAATGTCTCTCGGTAGACCAAGGCCTAATGTTTAATTCTAGTCTTAAAAATTAAGTAGAGGACAGAAGGCCCAAATGTCTCTACTGCCTTTCTGCAGTTTCCGAATGGCCAAGTGAACCTCAAATTATCTACAGGCAGATCTGGCCCCCCAAATAACTGAAGCCACAAGACTTATGGTCTCCGTAGGTCTCTTTCAAAACTGCTACAAATTAAAAAGCAAACAACCCATTAAACAAATCCAGCTGGTTACAACTGTAAATAGGAAGCTTCTGAGATTTTTTCAGCCCTTGAAATTCCTGGTTAGACTCATTAATTATTGACAAGAATTGCATCTATTTATTGGAGTGTAGTCACAGGAAAACAAGTTTGCTGCCTTCAATAGCAATTCCCAAATCACAGAGACCAGGCTTCAAGATCCTTTTCTATTTCTCTGACAAATGGCTAAATGTCTCTGGTCTTTTTCAACCTAATCCATTACTCCTAAGGGCTGGGGGGTGGGGGCGGGTAGGATGGCATGCATCTGACATGCTACTGGATAAAGACCTCAGGGTTGGTCCCCTGCCATCAATCTAACCAGGCAGAGATGGTGCTGGCCAGGTGCTCTCCTCTGGGTCTTGCTCTATGATGACCTCTTGATTCGGAATCAACTACTGGAGGTGGATTCTCTGGTAGTCACGGTGGTCAGAACGCAAGCCAAAGACCACACAGGTGCTGCTGAGCAACACCTGCTTAACACCTTCTTGCTCTTCCCAGACTTCCAGGGCGGAACGACAGACTCCCGGTGCCTGTTCTGACTAGTCAGGCCCAAGCTGTACTGGTTGATAAACTCTTTGAAAAATTATCCCTGCAAACATTGCAAGATTGTAGATATTCTTTAATTTTGGCACCAAATTATTTTACCCATAGGACCTCTCCTAACAGGAGGCCAAACAGAAACCTGTGACCATGTATTTATTCCAGTGTGCTCACCCCAACTTACACTGCACATCGCAGCGCCCAGGGGTGGCTGGCTTCATTTCCGGTCAGTCTCCTAAGTGTTGCTCTGCGAGATTCTGGAGAACAGGGGAACTGTCTTTGTCTTTACCTGTTCAACGTCTGGTGTGGCGTTTTTTTGAAATGGGTTACAGAGAATAGCACGTGAAAAGTGTAATCAATAGTGATGGCTCTTCTTTTAATCAGATCAGAGACCTCACCTGAATGCCAATAGCACAGAACCAAGTCAGGCAGCAAGTTCTAAGATCATGAACCACCTGCAAGGAACTCATACTCTAGTTGGCAAAAAAAGGCATTAAGTCAGTGGATTTTACCTCTGCCGGCTCCTGATAACTACCTGGAGAGCTTTAAAAAGTAAAAAAGTACCCGCTCCCTGGTCCAAATGCTAGAGGCTCCTTGACCTGGGTTGGGATCCAGACATTTTTTTTTTTCTTTTTTTAACCTACTCAGACGATTCTGATGAGTTGTTGGGGTTAGAAACCACTGCACTACATGAACCCACTTGTAAATATAAGATGAATATGTAATTCACGTAACTAAGTGCTGTTTCCAGTTATAGACAAGACATTCTGAGGGCTTCAGAGGAGAGAGTAAAGCACTGTGAGGGGAAAGAGCTGCAGGAGGAGGTCGGAGACCCTCAAGGACAGGGGAGAGGAGGCTACACCAGGACAACAGAAACTGCCCAGGAGCCAAGTGGCGCCAACGGAGGAACTAACGCCCGACGGACTCCAAAGGCGCAGCTTAGCGCCCTGTGAACGTGGCACGACATCAAAGAGCGACCCCATCAATCCACTTTACTGCGCCCTGGGTGACCAGCCCACTCCTGAGGTCAGGGTTACCCAACCTCACTGTGCCTTGAACACGATGCTGGGAAGATGACAGTCAGCCCAGGAAAACAAAAAAGTAGCATTGCAGGCGGGAGTTCAAAAATCCGCAATCTTAAACAGGCAAATCATCACTATGTTAAGAGACCTGACTTGACTGATGGAGGAAGAAAGTTATCCTTGACTGGGAAATTAAAACTGTCAGATCGCCGTGATCAAGGAATGACAGATTTTTATCTATCTGTATCTCTCTCTCGCTATGTGCATGTATATAAATACCCACACACATTTATTTGCTGAAATCTTGTGAAAAGATTAAGCAGTCATGTTTATGGAAAAACAAAGCTCGTTTTCTGGGGTTATAATCTCTCTGTTCTTGCTGAAGTGCTAACGTGTCATCAAAAATTCAAATTAAAGCTGTCTGATTTAGCACGATCTCAAGCATCCAGACAGCGATTCTGCTGTTGTAATTATGTGCAATTAAAAAGCTAAAGTCAACTTCTTACTACTGAATTCCTATTTATAAGCAGACATAAACAGATGATTTTAATGGCCTTCAGAACTTGGAAATAATAA